TTGAAAAAGATGTCAGTTTTTCAAAAATATCTCAGATAAAAGTCTTTGAAAAAAAAAACATGCTATGTTAATCTTTTCTAAATATGCTAAACTTAAAGGAAGATTATGTTATGTTTTAAATATTATTGTGCCATCGGTTTCTATGAGAACTAAAACTTAAAAATCCATTTATCTCTGAACCATTTTGATGCATGGATAAGTTCATTTCTCGCTTATTTTTGAACCAATTTTCTTAATTTGTTCGGCACAAACACTTGATGATGAATGCTATGCATACGTGTTAATTATCACTTATCAAAAGCTACGTGTGACCTCTAAACTTAGTTCAGCATATGTCCGTTCAGGGGTGTTCGTATGTGAAAGTATCCTCTCGGAAAGCTTCGGAAGCATGCGCAATGATGCGCTTCGGTTCGCATATTTACGTTCCCATCGAATTCGCAAGATTACGCTTAGTGAATTCGTTTATATGTGGGGGGGGGGGCTTTAAGAAGGTAGAATTACTTTTAATATAAAGGCCAATAAAGGAAGCGACATGTTCCAATGTAACTCAATTAAGAAAACAAGTTGTTGAATAAGTATTGAATCTTTCTAAATCTATTCAATGACAACGCAAATTCAGGATATCAGAAAATCGGTATCATTCCATAAGTCACCGAGACAATCAAAACAGATATAGAACATGCTTTTGCGTAGGAACATAAATAGGGAGGGGATGGACTGGGGACTTGACGCAAGACTATTATGTCTACTTCTGCTTAAATCCCACATCGGAACAGAGCAACAGCACCATGCCTATAGCACTCACAAAGTAACATGATTCGACTGCTGATATTTGTTTGGTTTCCTCTACCAGGGGATCAACTGGGCAAATTACATTAAATTAAATTACTTCATTAGAAAAAAGTCCCAAAAATAAACCACCCTATTGATCAAGCCAAGCCTTTGTTTCTACATACAAATTAAAGAATAGATAATGAGAAAGCGATCACGTACTTGACACAAGACATACACCAACCGCAATAAAAATGGCAAAAAATCTTCAAAAAACATATAAATTCAGAAATATCGATACCTAATAAAGCCCATTCGCTGCCATCGGTCAATTTATGTATCGTTCAATTCAGCAAGCTATGGGATAAAACTAGAATGGCTGTAGGGCAAATCATTGATCCGAAAGTGCAAATTTATCAATTTCTTGTCTTGTGAACAAAGCTGTTTTCTAACCAACATTCCGATAAAAAATCCAGAGGGGACACAATTGTTGATATAGACATGCGTTACAGGAAATAAAACTGTTACGTTGACACGTAGACGTCTGATATAACACCAAGCAGCTGGTTTTATTTTAAAATCATTTCGATCTGAAATATCACGATAAACCATATAGCATCATGTTCGTTCTTAAAGTCTTTTGATACTTATTTCCTCATTTTGAATTGCAACTGGCAAGATTCTATATATAAATCGAAACTGATAGATGGTCATGATCCATTACGATTAGAGGAGCCATGCTTGGTAATATGAGCCTCTCTATCAGATACTAAAAGCCACTGGTTAGTATCAAACGAAGGTAACGGCCATAACCTTCGCATCTAAGATGGCGGACGGTAAATATCTATTTCAATATTTCAGTTTTCATTGAATTAAACTAACTACTACTAACCAAATTATATGACATTGGAACTCTGTAGTATGATGTTCATATATATCGTACTTGGGCGCCAAAGTTCAACGATATCTTCCACCGCTTAAGGGAAGGTAACTGGTAATGTATTATGCGTTAACGGTCATTTTTAGTTTTCAATACGCGGAAACTGGACATCTTAGCTCTCCATTATAAACTCCCATAACGTTACTGCAACACCGTATATCAGTTACCTTATCATCTGCAAAACCAAAATCCCAATTACCTTCTCTTAAGCGTCGGAAGTCGTTAACTGTGATGCCTACACATGGTACATGAACAAATGATCATACTACAGGGTTTCCATGTCATATAAGCCTGATATGGTTCAAATATCAAAGCATTACGTCAACTTGGTTTAATTCGATGAAAACAAAATATATCGTCGAAATCAACACTAAACCGTCCACCATCTTAGATGCGAAAGATACGGCCGTTACATTCGCTTGATACTGACAAATCAAACAGGTTACACAGTTACTACACGTGTTACCTTAAAGAATCAAATCTAGCAAGTAGTTAGTTGCATGTAGTGATGAGAATTGTTTCAAACAATAGAATATTCCTTGTCATATCTATTTTCTAAAAATACCCAATTTGTGTACGTGACTATACTGTACAGGGTGTCCCGAAAGTATGCCCCCCCTAGGCAGACATATTCCAGTGTCCTCATAGTATGTGTCATATATCATTTTAAAGCTTATCCAAAGTTACATTGAATTGCCAAGTATCATAGTTTAACTCCCAAATGGGAAAAAGTTACAGTCATTTTAAAAATTAGTGTTTTGCCAAAATGAGATTCAATTTTACACCACATTACTAGTCAATGAGTCCCCCTTTGGCCATGTTAACAGCAGCAATTCTTTTCAGATATGACCTTAAAAGCCCTTCAGATAGGGGTGTGGAATTTTATAACCCTCTTAAAACCTGTTAAGGCACTTTAGAAGAGTTTCCTTAGAGTTTCTACCCTCACCATTCTCTTTTTCCAACTCAATATCGATCCGATCCGAAAAGAATTGCTCTTGTTAAGATTGCCCGCGAGGACACATTGACTAGTGATTTGGGGTAAAATTGAACTTAATTTTGGCCAAACACTAAATTTTGAAATGCCTGTAATTTTTTCACATTTGAGAGTTGAACCATGATACTTGGCAAATCAATGTAACTTTGGATAAGCTTTAAAATGATATATGACACATACTATGACGGCACTGGTGTATGTCTGCCTAGGGGGGGGGGGGGGCATACTTTCGGGACACCCTGTATTTGACATCCTCCGATCACAGGGCTTCAAAATCCAGAATATCTTCTTTCTTTTTACCCCCTGCTATAACCAAGTTGGACGCGCCCGATTAAACTGAATCACGTGATCTTATTATGCGCCGATGACGTATACATGATTTCTGTCGCAGTGTTGCGACAGCCAATCAAATTGCGAGTTCTTAATCGGGGAAATGCTAACTGCTTATAGCAGGGGGAAGAAGGAGGTATGGATTCTGGACACCTGCTTAGGAGGATGTGTATTTGAGGGAAAGTAATGATTCGTAGAAGAGATACATTCATAATGTAATTATTTTTCTTACCATTTTAATTATTTTGGAGAATTTAAACATATTTACCCCATTTTGGCACTTTGAATCCTCAAAATAACCAATTCATAACATGTCATAGATCTTTTTGGAGATAATATATTTGAGATAGTAAGGAATATTGGTTGGTCAACTGTACATGTTGATTGCAGTTTTATCACACCATTTATAACAGCCTCAACATTGCCTTAATAATTCAGATCATATTGTCACAAGATGGAACGATGAGGTCCAGGATGTATTGGTTTCAGGAGGAAATGAATAAAACAATTTCAAACTTCATACCAACTACAAAACTAAACTTAAAGGGGCAATAAGGACTGTAGAGAAAATAGGAAAGTTTTTTCCTTTTTTCTGAGCTATCAAGGCAACATTTGGTTTAACATCTTTTTTAATGTTTATCTAGAGGGTTTCTTTGTAGATAATAAAAATAGATGTTAGTCTTGATGAAATATCCAAACTTAAACATATTTTGACACTGGTCCATGATCGTTGAATGACCCCTCTGCACTAATTATTGCACCTTTAAGTAGAACCAACGAAAAACTGCTAAATAGGCTTCGAGTTGATTTTGCCCTTAAAGACCATTTCTTTACTCATAATTTTACTGGAATAATTGACAACAAATGCCTCTGTGGCTCTACTGAAGACACAAAGCATTTCATTCTAACCTGCCCTCGCCATACCCATGAACGTCATAAAATGATGACTGCACTTCGTGAACAAAATTTATTGTTTGATACTCAACTTATTTCTAGTAAGACAGAACAGGTCAAATATTTAATTTATGAAAATGAACTCACTATTGATTCTCAGAAAATACTGATAGATATAGTGATGCAATTTGTACAGGCCCGTTATAAGTTTCCATAAAATTAATGTTATTCTCATTTGTATCTTGTGACAACCCCCCCCCCCTCCCTCCCAACCTCTCACATTACCAATAACCATCTATGATTAATGTAATTATTCCTCTATTGTAATTTAAACTACCTAGAATGCCTATGGCGATTGGTAGTAGATATTTTGTGTATTTTTTGATTTTGAAGGAAATAAATAATATGTTAAAAAAAAATAAAACAATTACAGTACAGTAAGTGATATCAGTTTTGAAAATAAAAGTATATTTTCCTCTCCGAATACATGTACGGCTAAATCTATTTCCCAGACACAGGCTACATAACAACAAATGGTAAAAAAGACAAATTTCACTATTCGAACTTTAAACGGTATTCTGCAGTTCTAAGCTCCCAACACGCATGCGTGAAAATTCAAGTTACGGCCTAGAATCCTTTTAATCAAAATCGTTATATTCCCTGATTGTTTTTTCTTAGGAATATATAATTCCTATATCTAGCTAGTTATTAAGTATGTACATACACGCAAATCCCTGCTAAATCCGTTATAATACATAAAGCTGAGAGCCCAATTTGAAGAAAATAAGATCAACAAATTCAAAATTTTCGTCAGCCATTTTGAAGATATGGTAACGGCCGTCAAGGTATCTTGAATTAATTGATAAAAGGAGTCAAGATACAAGCAAATTGTGTATAAGCAAACTAAAGGAAAAGACAGGATCCGGAACTAAAGAAAGAAGCCAACCGAGATTTGCTATTTATATGACTTCTCATCCGAATTAACTGATTTGATCCATGACTTGATGGGTTTTCACACAAGAGAACTTTTAAATAGAAATCACACACAAAGTAAACTTAATTCATACTTACTATCATTATTGAAGTATTTCATAACTCTCTCTGTTATAAGTGTGTCTAAGACGTCGTCTTCGCCAGCATCCCTCTTGCCCCAGAAGTTACCGCTCTTCCAAGAGTCAGCTCGTTTTCCCCAGAAGTTACCCGCCTTCCAACTATCCCCTCTTTTACCCCAAGATCCCGGGTTCTGCCATGCTCTTTTGCCCCAGAATTGGCCGCTCTTCCAATCTCGTTTTCCCCATAACGAAGCACTTTTCCAATCGGTGGAACGTTTCGCAATTGAATGAGTACTGTCTATGCTATCATCTACTTGCACGTCATTGGTATTCTCACTATCAACGCTTCGTTTTCCCCAAAATTGTCCACTTTTCCATTTACGCTTGTCTTCGTCCATATCTCGTTTTCCCCAAAATTGACCGGATTTCCAATTTCTTTTGTCTTGATTGTCCTCATATTCGATGGCGGGATCTTCTCTCTTTCCCCAGAATTGTCCTGATTTCCAGTCACGTTTTCCCCAAAACTGACCACTCTTCCAGTTCCTCTTATCTAACTCATCACCGGCTCGTTTCCCCCAAAATTGACCAGATTTCCAAGCGCGTTTCTCGTCGTCATCTGAACGTTTACCCCAAAACTGTCCTGACTTCCACGCTCTTTTACCCCAAAATTGTCCAGATTTCCAAGCTCTTTTGTCTTCATCATCCCCGTCCCGTTTGCCCCAGAACTGATTAGATTTCCAACCATCACCACGTTTACCCCAGAACTGTCCCGACTTCCAGTTCCTCTTTGCTGGGTCCTCTTGAACGCTCGAAATAATATCATTATCCTCTTCTTTTGCTAAAGTTTTTAAATCTTCTAATGTGTCTTTTAATTCATCTACCCTCGATTCCGCTGTTTTTGTGCTTTGTATAGCATTCGAGTCCGTTTTTTCGTTTTCACAGTGAATGATGCATGGTATTAACAAGATGCAGAAGATACTGAATAGTTCTTTCCGAGCCATGGTTGTAGCCTATCTACGGCAGAGAAACAAGCCTGAAACTGATATTGTGCACATTAAAGTAACATTTATATATATACTTATGTCGTAGGTGTTGTTCTATGTTAGTTGTTAACGTAAACGTATTGCCAAGACGCTAGTTACTCTCAATGACAAGACAATCGGCCATCCATATGGTTATCTACCGGGTATTCCTATTGGATGAGTAATTATATATATTATACAGTATTCGAATCTTAATTTTGTTCTTTTGTTCGTAATAGGTAAACATTATGAAGATCACAGTTATATATTGTACACACATGGTGCATGCGTTTCTTTGTTAAAGAGCCAAACGCTAATTTTAGTATTTCTTAAAACAAATATAAAATAGAATGTACGCAATTCTATCACGATTCTTAACTAAACCGATGTGACCTACGACACAATAGAAAAGTTTTTTCACCTTAGAAATTTTGAAAAAATGTTTTAAGATATCTCATCCATATATCTTTTGTTTCTTTTGTTGAAATGGTGGACATTTATTTAATAAATGTCAATACCAAAAAGGCACATGGAATCTGTTTACTATAAATCCATTGGCTTATACAGCTAAGTGACTGATGACAATGCTCACATAAGATAGTCGATAGTGGATGGAAGTAGAAGTTAACTGTTTTCTAAAACAACGGGAGTATAATGAATGATATATGATCATAAAGATGTATTTGCCATGCCGTTAATTCACGTTCTATAATTTTCAGTTTCATTACTATGAGCCATTACATACAAAAAGTTTCTGTAATAAGCACTTCTGTTTTTAAATAGCTTTAGATCGGCTATGAAAATAAAATTTTGACATTTCGTTGGATCGTGTACTCTAATGTCAAGAGGCTAACAAGTCGATCAACCTAATCTATAAAGAACACCCAAAACGTGATTTTGATAAAAACATTTCTAACGTATTAACGTTAATTTCATCGAAAAAATATATTTCTAGGTTCGTTTACGGTGAATTATCGGGAGTAATAATATATTATTCACAAGATACACTAATTAATTATCGCGTTACATTTGGAAATGTGAGGTAATCATCGATACTTTTCTCTAATTAGGGGATCCGATATTATGACACGACCACCCACATAATTAGAATGAAATAGGTTTTCAAGCCTGGTCAAACGATTGTATGACTTTCAGGAAGTACGAGTTGCGACACGAACAAAAATTAGAAAAGCAATACCCAATATCTGATATCAATTTATGGATTAATTTTTGACTATACAGAGTGACGTAAAAAATGGTACCCACACAATGTTGCACAGCTTTTTTTGTCTGCACGAATCCTGAATTGTCCTTTAGCATATTAAAACTGACATATATATAAAACTATTTTTACCGTCTGGTTAGATATTAATTTTGTCATGAAATCAACAAGCACATAATGTACATGGCATGACATAACCTGGGAAACATAAAAACGACGATATTAAAATATCTAATAAACAGATGCTATCCCGTGCAATCGTGAAAGTAACCAAAAACAACTTATCTAATTTCGATCACATTTAAATCGTGCATCAGCTGATGTACTCTAAGAGCGAGGAGGACAATTCTTAATAAATGGAGTATAGTTGGTTTGGCAGCATTTTCAGTTAGAGGGAAGTCTTGGATGAAAATTCTACCTAGGTGATAGCTTCACAGAGTGGTACATAATTCTTTTTTTTCAGGGGTTAGCCCCCCACGCCCCAAAAACACCCCACCCCCGGAAAATAATTTTTTCATTCTCAATAATTTTAGATATCTTGATGTTTGTAAGTTACATACATAGACATTATATATATGAATCATTTGCAAAATAAATAATGCCAATCACTCCTACAGAATTTGGAAAATACTACAAAGTATGTACCCCAGGGGGCAAATTCGTGACCCACTTTCTTACTATTTAGAGCCTCACTTTTCAATCAGACACTGGAAGACATTGAAAAATTCCATGTGAAGTGCCCAGTAGCAGGGCTATAAGCCCTGAAAGGTTCAAACTAATTGAATCAGTAGGAGCAGAGAAAAAAATTGTTGATTTTTTGAAAAATTTGACATTTTTGAGAGGGGTGATTTTGTGTATGACTATAGCTGATGCCTATGGTTTCCAGATCTATCCCTCTTTGATGATAAATATGGTTTAGAAGTATGGAACTAAGATGTAAAAAATAATTAAAATGGGTTTTAAGGAAGTTTCATGTTTTAAACAAGTTCAAAATTCCAAGAATTGTACAATATCAGGTCTGAAAATACAAATTTTAGGTAAGACCTTGGATGAGCCTTAGATTTTTTACATTTGTCCCCCTTTGATGATATTTATGGTTTTGTAGTATGGAACTAAGATGTACAAAATAATTTAGATGGTTTTTAAGAAGGTTTAAGAATTTTAACAAGTTCAAAATTTGAAGAATTGTACAATATCAGGTCTGAATTTACGAATTTCAGGTAAGACCTTGGATGAGCCTTATATTTTTTACATTTGTCCCTCTTGGATGATATGTATGGTTTTGTAGTGTGAAACTAATTAGTAAAAAATAATTAAGATTGATTTGAAGAAAGTTTAAGGATTTTAAATGAGTCGAAAATTTGAAGAATTGTACAATATCAGGTCTGAATTTATGAATTTCAGGTATGACCTTGGATGACCCTTATGTCTTTTAAATTTTCCCTCTTTGATGGTATTTATGGTTTTATAGTGTGGAACTAAGATGTAAAATATAATCTAGATGAATTCTAAGAAGGTTAAAGGATTTTTAACTAGTTCAAAATTTGAAGAATTGTACAATATCAGGTCTGAATTTACGAATTTCAGGTAAGACCTTGGATGGCTCTTATGTTTTTACATCTGTCACTCTTTGATGATATGTATTGTTTTGTAGTGTGGAACTAAGATGTAAAAATGGTTTAGATGGTTTTGAAGACTGTTTAGGGATTTCAATGAGTCCAAAATTTGAAGAATTGTACAATATCAGGTCTGAATTTTCGAATTATAGGTATGACCTTGGACGACTCTTTTATTTTTTACATCTGTCCCTCTTTAATGACAATTATAGTTTTATGGTATGGAACTAAGATGTAAAATATAGTTTAGATGAATTTTTAGAAGGTTTAAGGATTCTAATAACAAGTTCAAATTTGAAGAATTGTACAATATCAGGTCTGAATTTGCAAATTTTAAGTAAGACCTTGGATGAGCCTTATATTTTTTTACACCTATCCCTCTTTGATGATATATATGGTTTTGTAGTGTGGGACTAAGATGTAAGAAATAATTTAGATGCATTTTAAGAAGGTTTAAGGATTTTAATTTGAAGAATTGTTCAATATCAGGTCTGCAATGAATGAATTTCAAGTATAACGTTGGTTAGTCCATACGATTTTAACACCTATCCCCTTTTCATGATATATTTGGTTTAGTTGTGTGGAAATATGTATAACATAATTTACATCGATTTTAAAGAAGCTTAACATTTTAAACAAGTTCAAAATCTTGGCTTATTGTACAATATCAAATCTGAAATGAATTTTAACATTTTTAAATGAATTTAAAGAATTTAAAGTATAACCTTGCTTGGCCCTTATATTTTTTACATCTATCCCTTTTTGATGATATATATGATTTAGTAGTGTTGAACTAAGAATCAAGATGGGTTTTAAAGAAGTTTAAGGTTTTAAATAAGTTCAAATTTTTACAAATTGTACAATATCAGAGCTGATATAAATGAATTTTAGGTATTATGTTTTTTACATCTATCCCTTTTTGATGTCATATATGCTTTAGTAGTGTTGAACTAAGATGTAAAACAAAATTTAGACAGGTTTTAAAGAAGTTTAAGGTTTTAAACAAGTTCAAATTTTGACGAATTGTACAATATCAGAGCTGACATTTATGAATATTGGGTATTTAGGTGAGCCTTATGTTTTTTACATCTATCCCTTTTTGATGACATATATGCTTTAGTAGTGTTGAACTAAGATGTTAAACAAAATTTAGACAGGTTTTAAAGAAGCTTAAGGTTTAAACAATATAAAAAATTGAAGAATTGTATAATAACAGGTCTGGAATTTATTAATTATAGGTATAACTGTGAATGGCCCTTATTCGTTTTTTACATATATCTCTCTATGATAACAAATATGGTTTTGTAGTATGAAACTAAGATGTAAAACATAATTTAGATGGGTTTTAAGGAGGTTTAGGGTTTTAAACCTGTTCAAAACTTGACAAATTGTACAATATAACGAATTTCAGGTATGTATCTCTCTATGATGATATATATGGTTTAGTAGTATGAAACTTAGATGTAAAACATAATTTAAATGGGTTTTAAGGAAGTTTAAAGGCAGAATCAGATCTATGGGTGTGACAAAATTAAAAGCAACATGTACAGTTCATGTACTAATCTATTCCTTACAATCTCAAACACAATTTCTCCAAAAAGATTCACGATGTGTTAAGTTTAAAGGCAGAATCAGATCTATGGGTGTGACAAAATACCAAGCAACGTGTACAATTCATGTACCAATCTATTCCTTACAATCTCAAATACGATATCTCCAAAAAGATTCATGATGTGTTAATAATTGATGAAGTAATAATGGATTCAAAAAGCAAAAATGGGTGAAAAATGTTTAAATTCTCCCAAAATAATAAGAATGGTAACCATTCTTATGGAAAAATAATACATTATTGTAGAAATCTTTAGTTTTCCTGAAATTAAGTGTGCACTTTGGGGATTATTAGCAAACAGACATGAAAAGGAATGACATAAGCCAGAAATATTCAAAAAGGTACATGTGCAGTATGGCAAGTGATTTTAGACGGTCATATATTTCACCATGAGTACTTTCTGGGCATAAATACAGTGGTTTTTTTATTTAAAAAAAAATATTTTCTTTCAAGTGAAGTCCCCATGAAAAATTATAAATTGGGACCCCATGTCAACAATTTTTTCTAAATGTTTAGAGCCAACCAAGGTTATACTTGAAATGTAGTGTTAATTGCCGAATTAATATTGTA